GTCTGCCCGCGATGGCGAAGTGGCGTTTGGCCTGGCCTCCAATCGCCCTCTACCCCGGCTCCCGAGAGAGCCCGTGCACGAATCGCTCTCTCACGACTCTCGTTATCGTCATGGCTATTTGAGCTCTCCCGCACATGACGATAGAGCCACCACGCCCAGGCGCTCTCCCATGGAAGCAGTGGATGCATCCCAATTTGGTGTTGCCTTTGGCACCAATGCGCCACCACGGGCCGGCTCTCGGACTCAACCACCCCACCACGTTTGGCACCGAGCCTACCAAACCTCAACCAAGTGGGAGTCCTATCGCGGTGACAGCAAGAAAGGTCTTGACTCCCTCAAAGAAAATGTCAACTCGGCCCTCGTTCTTCTCCAAGCCGAGCCCTTGCTGCATATGGCCACCCTCGATCTAGAGGGCTGCACCGCCGCTGGTATCCAGGATATTTATGGCGACATTTCTTCCGACCTGGACTACCTCATCTACGTCAACGACATCCTGGTTGACTGGATCTTACCGTGCTTGAGAGGTGACCTTGCCTCTCGGTTTCAGCGCGAAAAATCACGCCAACGCATCGTCTTGGGCGCCTGGTTCAAACAGATGGGCGCCCTCTTCCTCCAGACCACTCGTCACGACATTACCCAAGCCTCTCAGGCTATAAAAAAAAGGCTCTTCGCGACCAACGCATCCGCACGGCCGACGATTTATTATTATACGACTTTCCTGTCTACCGCTCCTCCATCACTGCCGCCGTCGATACCCTTCGCATTGAGGGCGCCTACTCGGCAACCCTTGTCATCGCCCAGCTGGTTGATGGCCTGCCTTCGAAACTCAGGGACGTGATTGCAAACCTGTATCAACCGTCTTGGGATTTGGGCAAGTTCTTTGAGGTGGTGACTGCTAACCTGCACAAACTCACGCCTGCTGGTGCCCGCGCCGAACCTAAACAGGGTGCCTTTGCTGTTGAGCATGGTGGAGGGCGCGGGCACGGGCATGGCCGTGGACGTGGTCGCGGACGCGGTCGTGGACGTGGTCGTGGCCGTGGTCGCCATGGTATACACCACGGGCCCCACCCAAAGAGTGAGCGCGTCAATGCCAACTGTGAATTTTGTCGCATCTATGGCCACGATGTATCTCAGTGCCGCAAGAAGCGCGCGTACGAGAAGCACAATGGCAAGCAGTTTGCGGCCCCCGTCATGACCGCGACCTTGTCTCTTCCACCCCCCTCCCATTTGCCTGCTGCACCTGCTGCTCCTCCTTCCCATTTGCCCGCTGCTCCTGCTGTGAATTATTCGCCCGCACAAACACATTATCGTCACCACGTATTAGAGGCACAATCTGAGACGGTATACTTTACCACGTAGTGTGTCCTTTGGTACTTGATGTTGTCCCACCTTGTTGTGTAACATCTTGCTGTACCATCTAGCTGTATCATCTTGTTGTGGCATCTGTTGGTCCCAACAGATTGCTGATATCGCTTCCACCTGTCTTCAGTGTGATAGTCCATTCTCTGTCTCCACTGTGTGTGTGTGTTTCCACCTGCTATAAATGGGAGCGATCTCCCTGGATCGGTACCATTTTCCTTCTTGACCTCGGTCGTTCCACTTCCCTCCTTCTGTCTTGTTCTGTCTTGTTCCTTCGCCTTGCTTCAATCCATGTTCTCGTATGCACTTCGATTGGTTGGATACCTCTGTGACAATCGCCTTGTCCACACACATTACACTGTACTGGACATACACCTTTAATAGGTTATGGGCCTCGGTTGTGTACTCTTCCAACCTCTCTTTCGTTACCCTGCCTCGCGCTTTCCAGCTGCTCTGTTCCCCTCCTGCTTCCTCCCTGTGTCTTCTGTTTGTATGGAAAACGCTC